CTGTGTACCCGTTCTTCATTTTCTAAGTCAACACTCTTTGTTCAAAAATGATAAGCTTCTCAGAAATCCACTGCTTACAACTGTCAGCCTGTCGGGTCCGGGGACCGAAAAGAAAGGGTCGAACGCTGCCTTTTGCTCCGAGAGACGTCTCGATACAAGTTTGGATAGAAAGAGACAAACTCTTTCATTCTTCTTATTTCTGGCAGGCTTTGCTAGGGTGCAAGTGAAATTCTAGGGGCCAGGGGGTAGCAATAGGCGCTGATGACTGATTTTGCAACTTTATGGCTTGCTCCTACCCCAGAAGTGTTTCTGCTTTCAGAGAAGCCACAGAGAATGTCCTCCACCAACGGCTGTTTGTTAGAAATGAACCACAAGTGCACGCACATTGAAGCAGAAGGGAAAACCAGATAGAGGCTCTGTTTCATATTCTTGGGTGAACCGACAACAGGGCAGAATCAATGATGTTCCACCAGGTGGGGAGCCTGTGGCTCACCAGGTCCTGTTGTGTCACATCTGTCATCATGCTTCAGTAGTGGTGTTCCACCAGGTGGGGAGCCTCTGTCATCTGTCACATCTGTCATCATGCTTCAGTAGTGTCCCAGATAATCAAGGAGAGCCGAGGTCAGAGTTGACAACATCTGGAAAGCCATAGGTTCTTCAATTTTGCAAAGACATGCCATCAGACCAGTGGTTCCCAACTTTGGGTCTACCAGATGTTCTTGGATTACAACTCCCAGATATCCTGGCCAGCAGAGCTATTGGTGAAGGCTTCTGGGAGTTTCTGTCCAAGAACATCTGGAGACCCTGAGTTGGGAACCACTTGGTCTAATGTATCTAGAAGCCACCAGGTTGGGACAGGTCTCCCTGCAGCTTCTGTCCCAGAAGAAGGCATGTCTGGCCATCTGGAACCTTGAACAGAAACACTGTGATTAGAGGCTGAGAATATACCACAACATTTCGTTGCAGTTTCCACTGGTTCAAATCCTTGCTTTTAATATAGTGTTAGCGCTTTCATTATTGCTTTTACTTGTTCAAAGTTTTATTTCAAAAACATCTGAACACTCAAAGTTGGAAGCCACTGCATTAGATGTATACAACACCAAAAAATTTCCAGCTAGCGACTCTCGTGCTATTTCTAAGCTCCTTCGTTCCAAGCATGACATTAACTGAAAATCTATTTAGAGAAACCTAACTAGAAACCATGGGATATCAACAAACCATAGTGCTATGCAAGAAACCCTGCCTTTCCCAACTTACTTGATTGCCAAGATATATCACGGAGATGAACCATAAGGCAGAATGGGATGGTCACCTTGTGATGGTCACAGGCGGCGGGTGTGTGTGTGTCCTCAATGAATGGTTTGTTATTTAATCAGCAAGAACAAAAGGGGGAGGGCAGCTGGGGCCCCTGGCAAGACCCACCAGCTTCCAGCCTGCCAGATCAAGGCCAGCAGACGTGTCATCTGCTGAAACAAACTTTCTCCAGTGTAATAACCATAGAAAATGACATTGCAATAGCCCAGATTATTTTCCCACTTAGCAACCTTCTCTTCTGGCTGGAAGAAGGGTGTGTGGCCCTATGATAAAGCAAAGCAGAGCCATAACTCTGTACCTGCAGTTTTGGTTACCCTGCCTAGTTGCAACTTTTGTGGTAGAGCAGGGTAGCCCTCTCAGGAAGAGGCTGGATGGTGCAGAACCCGCCGAGAGGACAGCGTTGTGTCAAGATGGGTGCAGGGAAAAGGAAACCACCTCCGAGTACTGTACCCTGTACCTACTAAAACCCTTAAAAGTTCTCCATCAATCAAGACTAACTTGACAGCACACAGTTATTGTTATTATTATTCCTGTTTGCAAGCTCTGTAAGGGAGGCTTGATGGTTGTCCCATCAACAGAGCCGAGGAAAGATTCGACAAGTCCACGGAATATGGAGGGCAAGGCCAGTGTCCCATCAACAGAGCCGAGGAAAGATTTCAACGGCCTTTCCAGTTGCCTTTCAAGTCCACGGAATATGGAGGGCAAGGCCACCCTCTGGTCGTTGGCTTCAGGCAGCAGGATGTCCTGGGTCTGCCTTCCTGATTAAGCAATGACTTCCTGCAGAGTGCTTCTCCACCTCTGTCCACATCTGCCTGACGCAAGGTCAGCTAAGGTCTGGTTTTTCACAGTGAAAAACAAGGCACTTTGGGAATACAACTCCCAGAATCCCCTGCGGTAGAAGCATGCTGGGAGTTATAGTCCACAACAGCAGTAACTCTGCCCAGCATTACGTTCTCCGCCACAATCTCTTAAGAGTGCACACATACTATAGGGCGAGACGCACGGGAGGGAAGAAGGACCCACTGCTGAGTAAACCCGGTTTGCCTCCTGCCGTGCTTTGCCCAAACAAAACACTTCAGAGTCCCCCGTCCTTTTCCAGGAGGAGGCTTCGCACATTTTCTTTACCTATCTATTTGCGTCCGGAAAGCAGCCCCGCAACGGCTGTTTGCGAATTTCGCACCCCAAAAGAGGCCCACGGGATGTCAACAGAAGTAAGATCCGAAGACGCCACAGACTGCTATTTATACGCAGCTCCCTGGAGACAGGCTGAAGCGGTTATTTAAAGTTAGCGGGCAAACCGGAGCCGAAGGAAACACAGAGGCATCCTGAGCTAATCCTGAGGAGATGACAAAGGACCTGCTCAGAAAGCACAGCAAAACATCTTAGAAACGACCTCTCACTCTTTTTTTTTTTGGTCCTTTTGCTCCACGGACCGCAGGCTGCTCGATCGGAGGCAACTGAGTGTTGTCATATTTGGCACATGATCCTACACACGCCTGGACGGGCGGACGGGCAAGGGACTGGGTGGAGGACCTTAACCGGTGAGGTCAGCAGGGATTGAAACACAGGAAGTACAAACACTGGCCATCACCTTCACCAGGGCTGCTCACACACCGCAGCTGTGGGGTCACGCAGGCGCTCTAGCTTTGAGGGGCCGATGGACCCACCAAGTACAACAGAAAGCCCTTGTCTCTATTTGAGCCACAGAACGCCAAGTTGAACTTCTTGATGAATTCTTATCCAGTGCTTTCATACTTGCGGAACCCGCCTTATCTTTACGGAGCCACAAGACTCGCGGGTCGTTGCTGTTGCAACCCACGAGGGGGTTAAAACAGAAAGGTCCCGTTCTCTGCCATCCCACCCCCACACATGCTTCTGCTTTCCTTTCCCAGGCAGAGGAGGGGGGGGGGAGAAGCCATGGCCCTTCCTCTGGGCAAGAGGGAGGACAAGCAAGCCAGAGAAGGAGCGGAACAGGAAAAAAAAAAGAGAGGGGATTTCAGATCACAAGGCGTCCTTCAGGGGACACCAAGACAGGACTATATATATATATACGAATGCTTCTGTTTTTTCTTTCTTTTCTGATGATGGAAATTCAGTCCAGGAGGCGAAAGATGAAATAAGTGCAAAATAAAAAAATAAATAAAAGGTCTTCTGATTCACACTGAGCTTTGGAAAAGTTAGTTCTTGACTACAACTCCCAGAACCCCCGCTGGCAGCAAGGTGGCTAGGGGAAACTGGGAGTTGTAGTCCCCCATTTCCAAGCTCGTGACTAGACCTAGAAACCCCTTGGATTTATTATACCCGCCAAAGCTAGGGAAGCAGAGCTGCTCTACCGGCAGTCCCAACAACCTGGGGGGGGGGAGAGGGGAATCCGGTCACCTGCTCCACGCCTTATGAAAGTAGCTGTGCAGACAGCCATCTCTGCCTCTCCCTCCCCCCCCATCAGATTTACAGCCTCCCTGAATCTAGACTGGACAAACCCGGAGGAGAGGAGGGGGAAGGCCAAAGAGGGAAGGCCCAGTTGGGTAGTGGGGCAGAGCGAGAGTCGCCCCCAAGGGAGGCGTCAGAAAAACGGCTGCCGTTTCAGGCAGGCCAAAGAAACAGCACCCAGGAACTCTGGATTTATTGGTTGATTGATCTGGGGGCCCTGTCATCCAAAAAAAGTAATTCCTCTCTAGCTTGGGGGCTTTCCTTCTCCCACCCGGTACCTAACATTATGGCAGTGCAGCTGGATCCTTTGAGATCCCACCGTTTATTTCAAACCCTGGGGAGGGCTTCTGAATTTGGGGAGGGGGGGCCCTCTCCCGCCCTCTCTGCCACTGGGGTTGTGGATCTGTGCCTCCCCCCAAACACACACACATCAAGTCCTCCTTGCCCAGGACTCCTTGTAAACCCTGAACGGAGAGAGCAGGCCAGGGGCTTAGAAAAGGGTGGGCGGTTTTCACACCCTAAAGGCTGGAGGATGGCCAGCTGAGTCCATGGAGGGGGCAGAACCCCCCACTGGGTGGCAGATCTCCCATGGGGGGGGGGTGTCTCGGTGATCTCTTGCAGAAATGTTTCCCTCCCCGGGGCTTGCTGGTCCAAGCAAGGACTTCCTCCTCCTTCCCAAGCTCAAGGGCTCAGGAGGACCCCCGCCCAGCAACCCCCCCCCAAGGATGCTCTGGCCAAGGGTCAGGCGTGCGTGACCTGGGAGAGGCTCCACTGCCCGCAACAGAGCCGGTGGTCCCTCCCCCGCCCGCCCTACACACACCCAGCGTTGCGGTGCGCGTCCCTGGGGGGAGTGGGGGGATGGTTGTCGCCTCCTCCTGTTGTTGTTTTTGTTCAGAAGTTCCTCCGCAAGTCCCGAAGTCAAAACACGAGGCGTTTGAAAGCCGGTTGCATAAAAGAACACAAAACACACAGCAGCCACCCCTTCCACTAAAACGGAAAATGCGTTTTTT